CCAAAGGCAGACACTTAAGTCACTGAGCCATCCAGGCGCCCCACGGCTTTTCTCTTTAAATCAATTCACTTAATCCTCTGTTTTGAAAGAGAACTTGGTTTATCTAACAGAAAACCATCAGCAGTCGGCATAGCTGGGAGGCAGCTCAAAAATAACATGGTTAATGTATTTTTCACCTCTGGCGAGGGAAGGAGTTCTTGAACATGACGCAAACAGCACGAACCATACAGTATATCAGCGGTCGGCAAACCGTGTCCCGTGGGCCGCGGCCTGTATTTGCAAATAAAGTTTTATTGGTACGCGGCCAGGCCCACTCCTGCCCCAGGGGCTACTGGCTGCCTCCGTGCTAGGACAGTCGAGTTGTGTGGTGATAACAGACACGGTTGCTCCACAAAGCTGAAGATACTCACTCTCTGGCCCTTCACAGAGAAACCTGCCCATGCCCGACGTAGGACTGCTCATCCAGCAACCGGCCTGCACACAGGAAAGCACGAACAAAATGAAAAATACAAGCCCCCAAATTGAGAAATAAGGACTGGAAGCCACCATTCCCAAAGTCAACTCCTAAAGTTAAGATAAAGAAGGCAGCGGGTTAAGTACGTGAAAAGAAGAAACCAAACAGCTGAAAAATACCGAGAAAATGTTCCAACTCGCTAAAATAAGACAACACCAAACCTGCGATTGCACATCGCGTCAAGGACACCAGTAACCATGCAGGCCAGGCTTGATTAACTGGCGTGTTCTCTTGGCCATGGTGATGGGCCCAGGGATGAGCACGTGATCCAAAGTTGTCTAATCAGCCCCTTCTAACCCTTGGTCAAGGCGGCTGGTTCAGGTATGGGCTCCTGTAGAGATCGAAGCCCAGAGCTTGGAGGATTAGGATCTCAGTGAAAGAGCCAGAGAACGAAGCCACCCAGAGCACAACAGAGTCCAGAAGCAGAAAGAGGCCAGTTCCTGCGAATGCCATGCGAGCACCTGGATCCAGCCATGCCTGAAGCACATGCAGATGCTGGAAGCCCGGTAGGGCAGAGTGTGCACCTAGCGGCCTGCACGGTGCCTGTAACATCACAGTTATTCAGCCAGGAGCTCCCTGGTGTGTGACTGCAGGAATAGGGCTCGTGCACTGGTAAGAGAAAGGAGCAGTTTGCAGAGGCGTGGAGGCGGCAGAGAGAGGATCGAGACAGGCCCCTCCACCGGGGCTCCAGCAGGCGGGCAGGAGGCTCTGGGCACGGCACGCCCGTCCCCGTGGCTTCTCATTCGAGTCTCAGATCAGCCCGGTGAGTAGACAGGAAACCTTTTCCCCTTTATGACAGAAACGATTCGTAAGCAGAACGTGGGGCTGGTGCTTCAGCAGCGACGCTGACGGGGGAACGCAGGCTGCCAGGCGCTTGGGGGCCTGCACCCCTGGAGGCGCTCGTCACAGCCCCCACAACGGTGCTGCGGCTTGAGCACATGTGGTCCCGTCCCGTCCTTCATGGGACACGCTGGAGCCGGATGGCCGGTGAGAGGCGGGGGGCCCTGCCCATGCTCACTGGGTGCTGGGACTGCACCCTGGGGCCCCACCTGCCCAGCGGGGGGCCGTGTCCCTGCAGCCTGCAATCCACCACGGGGGGCCTCACCCACCCATGAAGGCTGTCAGGGCCTCACCAAAGCATCAGCCACCCACGTCCCACCAGGATGCGGGCACCGAGTCCCCCCAACATCACCCCAGGCTGTGGAGATCATCCCTGCTACCTCCCCAGTCCCCAGTGGGATGCAAGAACCCCCCGCCCTGCCTCCCAGTGTGGGTGAGGTCCGGGCACAGGTCTGGGTGGACCCCCGCAGCCCCCGCGGAGCTCCTCCAGCACCGCAGACACCAGAGCCGATGCCGGGTGTGGCCACGCGGCCGTGAACGTGGCCGTCCTGGCACCCTCAGGCTCCCCCGCACCGCCCCACACAAAGGACGCCCAGGGAGGAAAGGCCGAGGTGCCCCACGTGCCGTGGCAGTAAAGGCTCTGATGTGTCCCGCGGCACAGTCCACTCTCGTCGCGCTTCCCCAGCCGAACCGACCGCAGGGCACTTGCTCACACCGATGCCTGCCGTCTCCGCAGTCGTCCCCTCAGAAGGCCTCCGGGAGGCCCGGCCCGCAGCACGGGGCTGACCCCGCTCCCCCTGCCCTGGGGCATGTGGCCTGCACCCCAGTCCCCTCTCCCTCCGTGATAGCGCCGTCCCTTAGGGATTCATGCATCTGAGTCCTCCCCCCGGCCTCCCGCGGGTGCTCCTGGAGCATCTTCCTCGTACGGAGCACCCGGGTGGGTGCCGGCCTCACAGCTCGAGGAATGCGCACTGCCAGAGTGATCGCCACCGCCCAGAGCTGCACCCGGCACCTCCGCGGTGCCTGCCCCTCGAGGAGAGAACGGTCTCTGCTGAATGAGCAGACCAAGTGATAAACACTTGATGGCTGTCACAGGCCCCTTCCAATCAGGCTAACGTGGCCCCTGGTGGGAGGTTCCCTCAACGCATCATCAGGCAAAATGCTCTGGTGTGAGGTTGGGGTGGGGCTCACATCGATCTGCATTTTAAGCAGCTTCCCCATGGGGTTCCGGAGCCCCAGGTAACCACCAGGCACCCTGACAATGGTCTGTGCCACGGGCACCCTCGGCCGCACAGCTCGGAGCCAACGCAGGAAGGGGTCCTGGCTCCCAGGGGTCAGCAGCCCAACCTCGAGCACCTGCCGCATGGCTAAGGCTCTGCAACACGCCTTCCTCATGGGATCTCCCTGAATCAGACAATGGTCTCGGATGGTCAGCACCCCACTTAACAGATGAGAAAACCAAGACCTGGGGGTGAGGCACCCCAGCGCGCCCATCACTGCAGAGCAGAACGCAGGTCTGCGTGAGTCCGGGTCGTTAGGACACGGGCTGGGAGCCGAGCGGCCTGCGGCAACATGTGCCATGCTAGACCCGCCCCTCCTCTGCCACGGGCCTGGCAGCTGGCATCATCCCCGTTTTACAGGCGAGGAAACCGCGGCGCAGAGAATCACAGCACCCAGGGTGTGGGCTTCAGCCACACACACGCATCACCCTCCACCCCGAAGGCACTCAGTAGAGGATCCCAGTGGAAGGTGGGTACGCCTGGGCCCACGCGCCCCGGCTCGGAGCGGACGCAGGGCTGGACCACTGAACACAGAGCCCTGGGCCTCCAGCACAGGAAAGACCCCCTGGAGAAGTCCAGGGCGACCTTCCGATCAGGGCGTCGTGACCAGAACTGATTCTGTCCCCCACCCCCAACAGGACTTGCAGCAGTGCCTGGGGACAGTGTTGCTTGTCACAGCTGCATGGGGAGGGCAGGTCATGAGCCTCTCCTGGGTGGAAGCCAGTGCCGCTGCTGAGTGTCCTCACGCGCAGGACGGCCCCACCACAGAGTCATCTGGCCACAGACGTCAGGAGTGCCACCGAGGTGGGCCGCCCGGGTGCCTTGGCGGCTGAGCACCTGCCTTCGGCTCAGGGCGTGACCCCGGGGTCCTGGGATCGAGTCCCACATCGGGCTCCCCGCAGGGAGCCTGCTTCTCCCTCTGCCTGTCTCTCTGCCTGTCTCTCTGTATGTCTGTGTCTCTCATGAATAAAATCTTTAAAAAAAAAATAAAGGAGCGCCAAGGTTGGGAGACCCTCGCCACCCCACGTGTGGCCTACAGACCAGCAGCACTGGTGATCCCTGGGAGCTTGTCTAAAACCCAGGCCCTCAGGCCCCACCGCACCTGCCTCATCGGAACCTGCATTTTCCCAGGGCTGCTGCAGGGGACCTGGGTGCGGGGGGCAGTGAGAAGCGGGTCAAAGGCAATTGGGCACGGGGCCCGGGGCAGCTGGTCCAGCTCACCGTCGGGATGCTGTCTCTTCCTGCTCTGCGGGACCAGCTTCTAGGTTTAAGGAGTGAATGGGGGCTGGAGGGGATCCAGGATACTGTCCCTGCAAGTGCAGCCCATCGAGACCCCACAGGTGCTGGAGGAAGGTCGGGGAGATGGCAACATGTGGGCGGCGGAGCTACGGCACTGAACCCCGCTGACAGGTCCTCTCCAACACCCGCACCCCAATCCTGGGGCTACGATCCCGCTGCACTCCCGGGACGACGGGAGGAAGCAGAGGCCCCTGCTGGAGGGGCCTGACTCCCCACAAAAGCCCCCTGGTTCACACTCAGCTCTGGGCTGGCTCCGTGGCAGGGGACGCAGGTGAGAGCTGGGAGGCCCAGCATGCTCTGGGTTCTGGGCCCCAGGGACCCCAGTTCCTGGAAAGCAACCTAGAGAGTCATCCAGTGCTTGAAACCACCGCACCGTGCCAGGCCTGTCCGGGCCGCGTTACAAAGCATCCTGCCTCAGGGCGCGGAACTGCCCGCAGACCTCAGCCGGACACCCACAGCCCCACGCTGCCCTGGCCCATGACGCGGAGCATCTGCCACCAGCCAGCCCCGCTGACCCCCGGGGGGACCCTCGCTCACGGCTCCAGGGCACAGCCAGGCAGCAGGTGGGCTCAGCCTGGGGCACATACTGTGCCCCAAAATAGATTTCCAGCTTTTGTTGAAAAACTTAGATCTGGCCATGCTAAGTGCAACCCTTGCCGGAAAATGACCAGGAGGAGGGGCAGTGGCCTCTCCCTGGACACCGACCAGGCGCGTCCTCCCCACTGTGTCAGAGGCTTCCCCACCTGCACCCCCCGTCACTCCGGCGGGTGCCTGGCCTCTGGGGACCAGAGCTTCTCCACCGGGGGACGGGGGAACAGTTTTGATCATCACAGGAGGACGTCATGTGTAGAGACCAAGCCTGCTGCTCAGCCCCTGACGGTACACGGACACCCGGCCCACAACAGAGCATGTTGTGGCTCACCTGGCGCACATGTGGCCAGGTGAGGAGCCACCGTCAGGGCCCTGTCCGGGCGCCCAAGGACGGCAGGGCCTCAGAGGGGCTCGGGCGGCCCCGGCGGGGGGCGGGGGGACGCAGCCCCGCCTCGTGGCGACGCGCCACTACTCACTTGGAGAGTTTCATCTCAATCTGCTGCCGGATTTCCTGTCTCTCTTCATCAGTCCTCCTGGGGAAAATATTCCTGTCTTCCAATTCCTGCTTGCTGGGCCGATTCCTCAGCTTCACTGCCAGCAGCTCCTTCTTGCATTTCCTTGGCAGCGTTCCTGGGAGCCACCGAAGAGAGGGGACAACAAGAAAACAAGTATTAGTCAAGTGCCGGCTTGTTGATCTAGCCACCCACCTGCTGGAGGGAGGAGTCCGCACCAGAGCCACGGGGGCACAGTGTCAGCCTGGGGTGCCTTCCGGCGGGGGACGCGGGGGACACGGGGAGAAAGGAGGTTACCACCCAGGGGCCACGCGTTCTGCGGGCGGACGAGCCATCGAATATCCCAGGCCTCCGGGGACGGTTGTCCCGGGGTGCTTATTAATGGCACCCAGTCTTTTTTCTGAGTGTGGACGGAGACCTAGTTGCTTTCTGCACAGCAGCCGCCTGCCACCCCTTCCCCACACGGTCCACGCTCCCCGCTGACCACCCCCGGCCACGCGGGTCTTCCTTCAGAGCCTAGGACATCCCACCTCAGGGCCTCTGCAGCAGGCCTGCCCTCTGCCTGCCACCCTGCTCTGCTGGACCATCTGGGGTCCTGTCCCCACAGCCCGCTCGAACCTTCCTGAAGAGGCCCAATCGAGCTCCATCCCCATCCCCATCACCATCGGGCCACACCATTACCTCCCCCCGTATCTGATCCCTTCCCCGTCGGTTACTTTATTCCTCCTCCACGAGACCACGCTCCAGGGCTGTCCACCTCCCCGGGCCCCAGGTCAGTGCAGATGCAGCAGGTTCCCAATGAATACTGAGTGAAGGAACGGGGGGCGGGGGCCGACCCGGGGCCTTGGGGCCCAGGCTGGTCTGTACTTCCACACGCGTCTAGGACCAGCTGAGCAAGATCTCAGAGAACAGAACGTCTAAACGGAGAGAAGCGGGGTTCGGCGGTGTGTGTGGGCAGAGAGGGATCATCCATCAGGGCACTAGGAGGAGGTGCGTGGCTCCGGTGAGCTTTCTGAACGACTCCCCACTGCCCTGGCCGGGAGCCGGGAAGCACGACGCCGGGTGTGTGGCCTTGCAGCCCTACCAGGAATAGGGATTTCAATCCTGGGGCTCAGGCCGTCATCCAGCGGGGACGCTCCCGTAGGTGGAGGCAAACGCTATTTCTCGAGAGGAAGGGCTCCCAGAGAAAGCCAACGCGCAGTGTCGAAGAACACAAAGCAAATGAGTCTAATACCGTGACAGCTTAACAGAAGTTCGGGATAAAGTAAGACACGGAAATTTGGGCTCGGCTGAGGTTTGAATTTCTAATATGAGCTCGTTTGCTATGTGTTTTATAGAGACAGCGAAAAATAATGACTCCACGAACCACTGCAGCAAGGGCTCCAGCCTGAATTTGTTTTAATAGCTTTATAAATGACTAGAGCCCCATATTTATGGCATCATAAAGAGCCTGAAGGAGTCACAGGCGTTTTTCCGTTAGTCTTTACTGTGTGTTCTGGGGTAAATCGAAAGCTCTGGTGGCATTCGTGAATTAAGGGAGTCTCAAAGGTCTCGGGACAAATCCTTCATGAATGTCAAGGGTTTAATACGTGGCGAGCAGGGATTGCCATTTTCAGAGAAACCAAATGTGCTCAACCATGAAACGGCCCTGAACGCGATTTAATCTTTTTAGCTTTTGATAACGAAAGTCTGTTAAGCCCATTGCAAATGTCTTGGGTTTCTTATTACAAACTTCAATCCTGTTTGTTCTTAACTGGGAAAAAGATCCCTTCATCAGAGATTTCCAGACGTAAATGAGAATTCGCACCACACGGGGTCTCTGCGCCAGGACCAAACGGTTTTCCCAGCCTCTACAGGCACAGTGTGCACAGTAGGGCCACAGCAGAAACTCACGGGAGCGTGCACACAGTAGGGCCACAGCAGAAGCTTATGGAATGACTTTAGGTCTTCTTCAGCCTGTCCAGAGGTTACTAGGTTCTGTTACTTACAAGTCAAAAAAGGAAATTTCGAAGACAAATAGCTTAAAATGAGGCTTTTCATAAATTTGAACAGCACCTCCCCGCAACCATCAGCATCGATGTGAATGAACACGTGTCCCAGGTCACATGTGTTGGAGCGGGATGTGAAGCTGAGAAACAGCGGCCGGGAAGCCTCTCTGTCCAGACTGCCAGGAGCAAGCAAGTTTCCCCCCACCCCAGGTGCCACTGGACACAAGTGCTTCCCTGTGCTCTGACCCAGAAGTCCCACTTCCAGGAGTCGCCTCCCACAGCGAGTGGGATGAGCACATAAAACCACACGAAAAGGTGTTCGTCCAGCATCATTGATGAAGACAAGAAACTAAACACAACCAAAAACCCCAAGACGACACTTATCAGATCACGGCACGTCGTACCACTTGGCCGTGGCAAGCCCATTGAAAATGGCGGCATGTATGGTACTGAGCGCCAACAAGACGTTCACGGGACGCTTATAACGTCTCGTAATAGCAACTTGCACAAAAGTACGTACGTCATCCACAGAAATGCATTTGTATGTGGGTACGTGTCTGATTTTGCAAATACATGTAATACAAACTGGCAGAGAAAGGTCAGCATTTGATCATTTTATGCACTAGTTTTGCTCTTCTGTATTATATTTTTTTATCACAAACATGATTTCCTTATATGAAAATAATTATTTAAAAATGAAGAACAATGTTGAGTGACATCGGCGAATGTGGTAGAAAATTCCCTCCTCCATAAAAGTAACAGGAGAGGGGCCCCTGGGTGGCTCAACAGTTGAGCGTCTGCCTTTCGCCCAGGGTCCCGGGATCGAGTCCCACATCGGGCTCCCTGCATGGAGCCTGCTTCTCCCTCTGCCTCTGTCTCTGCCTCTCTCTGTCTTTCATGAATAAATAATTTTAAAAATCCTTAAAAAAAAATAACAGGACAGTTGGCAAAAATGGTCAGGGTCTACTTTTTCAGATCTCTGTAAATATCCAAATGGCGGCAGCAACACAGGGCGTGTCTACCCAAGGAAAAGAGGCTGCACCTCCGAAAGCAAGGTTTTCTCTCTCCAGCGCCAGGCTCCTCCTCCTCCAGCCCCTCAGCAGCCTTGAACTATAAGAGTTTGCATTCATGGCGAAGACCAGCCACCTGGCGGTCACTGGGTGGTGCAGACGGGCCCGGCCCCCCAGAACTGCCATCCTCTGAGCCGTCGGCTGGCTTCCCACAAGGCCCCACAAGGCCCCACAAGGCCCCACAAGGCCCCACAAGGGTGCAAGGCTGGCTGTGCCCGATCTGGTCAGAGCTCGCCCGGCACAGAATGTCTTTCCCTGGGTGCATTAGTGGAAAACGATGTTGTCTTTCCGAGGCCAACACAGTCATTTATCTTCAGACCAGTCCTGCTCAATATCCTATGGAGTTCTTTATTGGAAAAAGCCAACAAAAAAAAAATCAACATAGAGGCCAAAAAATTAAGTAAATTAAAAGTAAAAGCCTGATGTTGCAGATCCAGGCCAACTGCAGCAAACGCTGGTGGCGCCGCTCCAATGCGCAGCTGACAGGTGGGGGGGCAGGAGGCGGGGTGGTGCTGCTGCCTCTCTCCAGGTACCAAGCGGCCCCGGCGGCCACCGAGTGGCACAACCCGGGCTCCAGCGGGAGGCAGCCTTGCATGCGCCCTGCTCATGACACACCTGCACATGGAACTCCCGGCATGCCCATGGCCCCTGTCCCGTCAGCAGCCAGCACCCACCCCGGCAGAGACAAGGATGCTCTTAGAGAACCTCAACCCATCTGTCATTCCCCTCTTGTGTGAAAGGCCCCCTTCTCTCTCCCCACAGGCCACCACACCAGTCTGGTCTCCTCCCACCTCGATGGCCACACCTCAGTCTCCCTTACTGGTTCCTTGTCATCTCCCCAGCTCCACACGTTGGGGTGCCCTGGATTCGATCCTCACACCGCTCTGTGTACACCTGCTTCCCACATGACCTCCTCTGTCCCATGACACACGAAGGTGGGGCTCGGGATTCCCCTGCGCAGCCACACGCTCTCTCCCATGCTCCAGACTCCTGTGCCCACTTCCTTCGGGGTGTCCCCACCTGGGTCCCTCTCAGGCATCTCAAACTCAGCACGGCCACAGCTGAGTGCTCGCTCTCCTGCTGAAGCACACAGGCTGAGGTGACAGGATCAACACGTGACCTGGACCTGACCTCGGAGGCCACGCTCTCAGCCCCAACAGTCAAGGGTCTGCTCAGCTCAGCCAGGCACCTGCGATCCTGCATCAGCTGCACACCTGGCACCAAAGCGAGGGCCATGCAGCATGTGCCTGCGGAGCCTGGGCAGGCAAGGGCGGGAAATGTGCAAACAGGTGCCCGTAATGACCAGAAACGCATGATGTGTGCCTTCTACGTGTGCGTGCACATGACACTGCCAAACTACCCGTGGCCTGGGTCTGTCCTGAACTGTGGCCATCCCAGGAGCTGGAGACATTTTCACTCAAAGGGAAAAACCAATCTGCTAGGCTCATCCACGGAGAACACTGTCCCTTGTTCAATTTTTCCCGTATACACACTCAGAAAGTGCCGCTGACTTAGACGGCGCCGGGCAGGAGAAGCCACAGAGGAAGGGGGCGTGAGCTAGAGACGGGGAAAGACCTCCTGGAGGAGGCGGCACCGGAGCTGGGACCTGAAAGCTGCCCCCCGCAGCCCAGCCGTGGGTCGCAGAGCCGGCTTCACTCCATCGAAGGCCTGTGCAGGGAGATGGGCCCCCGCCTCCGAAGCGACAGTGAGGCGTGGATTCCGCTCCCGGCCGAGACGGGGAACGCGCACCAGCTTCTCCACCCAGAAGGAAAGGAAACCAAGTCAAGCCACATGAAATGGTAGTGAAGATGCTGGAACGGACAGCGATGCCGGCAGGCCAGCAACCAGATAAAGTGGGCCCTACGCGTGCCCCGGGGACCCGGGCACACAGCCGGAGCTGAGAAGGAGAAACGGGGGAGACCCGAGTCTGCAGCGGGGCCTGGGGAGCAGCGGGCCGCCCAGGCGCAGAACCGGAGCCCTGGGTCGTACCAGAGGCTGCATTTAAACCTCAGTAAGGATCACGGTCAAGTGCAAGTAGTGCGAGCGCCCTCCTCAGAGGC